TTCCCCACCAAAGTAAACCCTAATTTGCTTCTCTTTCTTGCCCTAGTTTTTTTCATTTTTCTTCTTCTTGTCAGTCCATCATCAATGGCCTCCTCCTCCTCCTCCGCATCACCAATCACAAGCAAAAGGCTTCTCTCCGAGCCCTCATCAAAGTCTACCATAAATTTCCACCCAAAAAACACCAAAAACCCTACAACTACAACGTCGTCTTCAAATCCGAGTGCCAGAAGAGAGTTTGGAGCTGAAGCTCATGAAGTTCCTAGCGGACCAAACCCTATATCAAACTAGCTGCAGAGATGGTGAAGGTAGAGAGAAGAAAGGAGTTGTAACGGCAACAGTTATTATGGTTTGTCATATCTCTGGTTATTGTTGTAAAACTGCTTTGTGCCTCAGTGATGAATGAGGTTTGTTACCTTTAAATTGTTGTTATCATCATCCGTATTAATTAGCATTACCTTTTCCTTTATTATTTTCCTTCTTTTTTGCTTTTATATTGGGGCTAGAAATGTATAGCAAGAGTACACTTTGGTTATAAATAATATTTCATATTATGTAACATCCATCTATTTGTTTCATATATATATGATGATGGTATGATTTTGGGTGGTGGTATAGATTATAAATGGGATTGTTCCTTTGCTCTGATTAATTATAATACTTATGCATCTTAAATTTCGAAATGCTTTGTGTGTTGATGGTGAAATTTTGGTTTTTGTTCATATATATTGTCAATAGATATATGAAAACTCAAGTTTACTTTTGGTAATATTGGTTAACAAGTTTTTTCTCATAAAACTGCTATGATGCTATCATTTCACATTCAAAAGAAAAAAAAAGAAAAGAAAAGAAACCTCTGTAAACTTTTTGGCGAGTTTACATAGTACCCCTTCAAATTGAAGAAAGAAATGCATATACTTTGTATATATTGGGAAAAAATGGAAGAAGAAAATCAGATGTAGCATGTGGCTTTATTGCATGGAATGGTAATGATTCTTTAAAGCTGAAAAAAAAGGGGAGATAATAAGAAGAGAAATCTGAGGCTCAAGAGTGAGGGAAGCAATGGTGTCAGATCTTTCTGTGATAAATGCAGTAGTGGAAGCAGTGAAGGTAGGGGAGGACCTTTTGTTTTGCCTGCTGAGAAATTGAAATTATTTGATCGGCTTTTTGGAATTTGGCTTTTGTCTTCTCAAATACAAAATCCGAGAAAGCTGATTCCAACCAAGCAACCAAAACTAAAGTCATGATTTTGATAATGATAACAGTATCATTGCCTGTTGCTGAGTAAGCTGCTCCCAATCATAGGCTTTATCATTCTGCTTTTGAAAATAGGATTTCTCTTTCATATATATAATTAATTTCAAAATTTTCTAGCATACTCCGATATATGAAAAGAGTAAGTCTAATAAAAGTTTAGCAAAATCTCTGAAGTTAAGGCGAGAGAGGTCATATTGGATGGCCACTGTTTCATTATAAATTTTAATGATATTACCTTGTTTTCAAATTCATATTATGGTGTCGAAGTTATATTATCACTTTGCATCACACAAAAATGTACCCCAAAATTTGACAAAGTTCAAAAAGTAGGTCAATGGTCAAACACTGGTATTGTCATCAACTTAACAACTTGCAAGCCCAACAAGAATGACGACGTTTTATCTTAAAAGGTTTCAATATAATTAAGATTGGAACCATGCATTATATATTGTAATTTGTATGTTAAATGTTTTATGTAGAGTTTTCAACAAAATCCAAACCCAGAAAGTCAACTTCGTGAGACAACTTCATTTTCATGATTTCATCATAATTTTCTATCTTCTATATAAAAAATATAAATGCCTGCATTAAGTTTATAAGGCAAGCCAAATCAGAAAAGGAATTACCAATATTGAAAAATCAATAAAAGTAGAGTTGTAAACTTAAAACTGACACAAAAATCATCAGAGACTGATTGCCATTGTTTCATCAACCAAAATCTTGAGTTATTTATTTTTCCAAAATTAATGTTTGTTTTGTGGTTTATGCTTTGAAAAGGTAACTCTATATAAATAGTAACTTTTACTTTAATCTCAGTCAAAGACAGAAAAAAAGAGATCTGTCAAAGTTAAAATTTTGCATGCTTACCGTTTCATGATTAAAGGGTAGGCAGTGGGAAACACTTTCAAATTTATTACAAAATGTACATCCTCAAGTTCAACAATTTCAATCTTTGGAATCACACTTTTATTTATCTTTCCATATTTCATATTAAAGGTTCTTGAGGACATTACAAGGGATTAAGTCTCACCGGTACGACGATTCGAAGATAAATACACGCGACATGGACCTCGCAAGAGCCAAGAGCGTCTAGCTATAAGGACTTGAGTTATTCCTCCAATTGACAATTAGTTTTGAAGGTAGAACCTCGTATTTTTCATGGTATCAAAACAAGTTTGTACACATGTGAAGCCTAACGACTACACGTGGTTCATGCCACCTAGTTAAACTTGCTATACATGAGAAAGCGTGTGAAAATGTGATAATTGTCTCACATCAGAAAGTTAAAAAACTTTTAAGAGCGGATAAAGAGTTGAACTATTCATTTATCTCGCATACATAACTAATCACATATGAGAGAGAAAGACATTCAAGAAACAGAAACAGAAAGATGGGGGTGTATTCGATCAAGAATTTGAGAGTTTTTAGTGGATTTTTGGAGTTTAATTGATTTGTAGAGATTCCATATAAAATTTTGATTCAATTCCCTCAAAATCTCATGGGAAAATGTGAGATTTGTGGATGCTTAAAATACACTGCGAAATCTCTCCAATTGCCTCTAATTCCTCAACTTTCTCAAATCATTTAAAATCAATTTCTAATTGAATACACCTAGAATGTTATAAACTTCTTCAAAATCCTAATTGAATACACTCGGATTTTTAAGGATTTTAATAAACTATCTTAAAATTCTGATTGAATACACCTTGAATTTCGGAGAATCACTTAAAATCCTGATTGAATGCCCCTAGATTCATTAAAATAATTAAAATGTCTCAAAATTCCAATTGAATACACCCCCGAAGTTTGCATTATGAACTTTTTATTTTTCTTTTGATAATATTTTGGGCCAAATGGGATTTTTTTGGTTCTAGTCCAAATGGTCCAATCCAATCCTAAAACCCTCAAAAGGGCTTAAACCATAAGCCCAAAAAGATTAAAACCCCGCCTTCGGCCATTGACGTCGAACCAAAACCCCAACGCCCACAGCCAGAGAAACCACATGTTTCCGTTACAAAAATGGCTCTCAGATATAAGCGTTTCAGAGAAATCTCACGAATTTTGCCTCGAATTCACTCCGGTAAGCTTCACCCTCCACATATAAACTGAATTAACAGTTTCTACAATCTCATATGAATTATATAATTCAATTTTGGCATGAAAGAAACTCACTTTTACTTGCAATTTGTTGAAATTTAGGAAGCAGAAGTCTAGAAAAGTTCATTTGAGATTTAAAAATTGAATCTTTGATGTGTTGGTGCAGGTGATCATCTTCTACAATGTGGATTGGTTACCAAGTTATCGGCTTTGTCCATAATTCCACATTCACATGCTGTGGAAAGAATTGATACAGAGATTTCACAATGTGGATTTTGTGCTAAGTGGTAATTTTAAGTTGAATTTCACCTGTGGTTTTGTGACATAGTCATATTGTTTGTTCTAGGTTCAATTGTTGCTTGGCTCAGTCAATTTTTAGTTTGTAAGTTTCCGTTGGTGTTGTTGTTGTTGTTTTTTTTTTTTTTTTTTTTTTTTATGTAATTGGAGTTTTGCCCTCTGATTGACAGTCTCTTTTAGGCTCTCAACCACGTCAAAAGTATCACACGAGCGTACTGATGAGCTTGATCTTTTGGCCTTCATTAAATGTGCTCGAAGGTACTCATTTCTTCTATGTTAAGATTCAAGAAATGTTTTTGCAAATGTCGGTTGCTTGATCTTTTTTATGTACTTATTTAGTTTCATATTAATGTACAGGTCCTTGCCATTGTTGGTTGAATAGATCCAAGGGAGGCAAAGATACCTTTAAAAAAGATGAACTTTCTTGGTTCTTGTTGGACAGTTCCTTGAAACTTCTTTAACAACTAGTTGTGATGCCACAATCATGTTAGAAAAGGTGAAGTCACGTCAACAGAGGTAAACGATAAAATGTCATATGTTTGGTAAATTTTTTTTGTAAAAGTTCATTTGAAAAAGAAAAAAAAAAAAAAAGTAGTGTTATAGTGTTTGATAAACTTTTATGTAAAACAAATGTGAAAAAAAATCTAGTTTTTCAAAGTTGGGTTTTGCATCTTTTTTTGGTTTTTTTTCACTTAAAACTGTGAAAAAAAGCTGAAGCTGAATGTTTACAAAACATAAAAAAGCTTTCAGCTTTTTTTGATTGCCACTTTTTTTTCAGAATCACCTCAGTACCAAACTAGGGCTTAGAAGAAATATGTTCCTCTGCTGTCAGATGTTTGTTTTCGCTGCTTAGAATTGGATGATTTGGGTGAGCTAGTAGTCATTCTAAAGCTCTCTTCTTTGCGTGTGTTCTGTTGTAGGTTTCCTCGGCTCCACATTATGGGCTTTGTGTCAGGTGGTTCGATTCACTCAGCTGCTGATCGATACAATCTGATCCAATACGTACTGAAGGAATACATCACATTTCCTATTATATTGTCGAACAAGAACTTCACTAAGGTGAGGTAAAGATCCTTGGTTTGTCTTGTGAAAGGACCTACACATACAAAATCCATAACTATGTACACATTCATTGGCCTGTTGACGGTTCTCAACATTGTTTCTTACAATTATTATGTAATCATTAGTTTTTGTGAAGGAAAATTAATTAAAAGGGTTTAAATACTTTGAATTTTAACAATAAGGATAAAATAAAAGGTAAAGTGAATAGTACCAAGATTGATTTTTGAGTGTAAAAATATGGTTTTTCGTTAAAGTGAACAGTACCATGAGCTTTTCATTAAATTTTCCCTTTTTTAATGTGTTTAGATGGAAAACAGGGCATGCTGCATTTTGTTTAAAGGTTTTAAAAGTCTAGTGGTTTACCATGAGAAGGACATGGATATCAGAGTTCTTAATAAAGGTATGCATGTATTCCTGCATGACGTTGTTAAAAGTTTGTTTTGGGAGAATATGTTTCTTCCTGTGATAACTGTTAATATCTCTATATTATCATGCAATTATTTTTTTGCTTAAAATTCCAGTTGCACTTCGAAATAAGCCAGGGTACTTCCTGCTTTCAACATCCTATTTCTTTTCGACTTTTGTAGCAAGGGAGGGGAGGGGGTTACAAAACTTGCACGAAGTAATCTTTCATTTGATGAATCACCAAGACTTCATTCTTTATTGTTGATTCTAGCAAATGTAAGTTGTAAATCCTTTATGAATATATAAAAGTCATCATGAAATTCAAAGGTGGTTTCTATGCGCTCTTCTTTATTCCCATAGACCAATTTCAGTGGCACTGCATGGTTATTATCTCCCAAGTCTACGGTGCGAGCTGTTGTCACGATGTCATTGCTATTGCTTCTACCCGCCATAAACAAGACGTATAGCATACCAGAAGAAAACAATATATCAACAAGATCCTTTTCATGCCCCAAATCCTGAACGACAATCCATGTCGCGTCTCCAGGTCTACACAAACCCAATACCGTACTACAAACATTAGAAACCAGAAGTACGGTTGCGACCGCACAAGATTTAGAATTCATACCTGAGGTAGATGACAAGCCCCTTGAACTTGGTTCCAACGGCTTAATGCTTTCATGTGAGAACAAGGCTTTTCTCTCAATGCCAGTTTTCCAAGTCACGCTCACAATTGAAGAACACTAATTTAACATTATAATTACTTAATTTTGGGGTTACAGGATCCAAAATTTACATATTGGCATAGGATTCGATTCAATAGTGTCCATATCTTAAGACATGAAGTTAAAAGGAAGAAAAGGATCCTTTGTCAAATTGGTGACCATGGATAAGATAGTGCTGGTTGCAATTTTTCAGTCAAAAAACATTTGTACTAATAAAATTTTAATTTCTTTCTGAAAAAGATATAAAAGATTGAATAGTAATTTTTCTTACTTCTTAAGTTTCAAGTCCTTTGCAAATTTGCAATACTGGTTCAAGTACTTGGTGAAACTTAAAGGTCCTTTTCAAATTCATTAGGGGTCTAATTCTTTATCCTCAATAAAAATATAAGAATTATTAGGGGCAATTCAAATGTAAAATACAAGTTCATAAGAAATTCAGGAGATACTCTTATGCAAATTTTGCTTTAGACGACCGAGGAGCGCTTTCAAACGATCAAAAACACTCTGCTGGAGTACATATAAAAAGACCCTTTAATGTTTTTCCCCGAAGCTGTTCAACTTTAATTACAATTTGTTATGTTTAACAAAAACTTATGAGCATACCAGCTTCCCATCCAACCACCACCAAACGAGCCCGGAATATATTTATTTTGGGTTCCTATCGATTCTTTATTGGCTTCATACAAGACCCGTGAAGGAATGATTAATTGCTAATTATAAAGGGAACTATATACATAAGCATCATGGTTTCAAAATCCACTGCTTATTTTTTCTTATTCACTTTTCGATGGATCCAAAAAGGTCCAACGTATATTTTCAAGTACTTCTTTTTATTTTATGGAAAAGTGAATAAACAAAAAATAAGCGCCATTTTTATTGAATTAATGTTTTAAAGTTTGGTAAACTTCCGATATGCGACATTCTTTGCATTCCCTCAATCTTTTTATTATATAAGAAAACCTTATGTGTGATAATTTTATCATATCATCACATCAAGAATGTCTCACCAGGGAAGATGCAGTGTAACTCAAGCCAATGTTCATCTCCTCTTTCTCTTCCTCACCATTGTGTCTGCTCAAAAAACCACCTTCACAGTTGGTGACAAATCTGGGTGGACTTTCAACGTCGAAAACTGGACAGATGGAAAGAAGTTCAAAGCCGGCGATGAACTTGGTAATACTAGCTAGAACATTCATTATACAATTTTCTCTTTAGCGATACGTGGTGTTTTCATTCGTTTTACACGTGGGAAACTTATTTTTGTGCAGTTTTCAACTATGATCCATCCCTCCACAATGTGGCAGTTGTTGATGCCAATGAATATAGTAGTTGTAGTGCTTCTTCAAGCTCTAGGACATTCACCACTGGCAAAGATCCCGTCAAATTATCGAAGGGACTCAACTACTTTATCTGCACCGTCCCTGGCCACTGCGATGCTGATGTGAAGATTTCGGTTAATGCTTCCTAAATAGTTGGGAAAAATTGAAGGGGAGGGTGGGTTGTCGAGTGGTATCTCTATGTAATGTATGTAATTAATAATGTGGCTTGAATATTTATCTTTATGTGAAAAGGTTGGATTGCATGAATAAATGAATGTGCTGATTTTGATTATGTAGTTTTAACAAAGTTCTATTTTGGTCCATGTACTCTCAATTGTTACATAGTTTACTAATCGTCACAATATCAGAACAATTACGTCACTTTTTCAACAAAATTTTCACGTTAATGGCATGTTTGTAATGTTTTTATGCTTCAAAAAAGTCTAATTTACCTTCACATACATATCACAAGTGAGCTACAACTAGTAAATAACAATGGTTAAATCGATTACAACGTTAAAATAAGACCGAAGCTGAACTTTGCTCAAACAACAGCACTAAAATCATGATTTGGCCTATTTCTATTTTCATCTTTTATATTTAACTGAGCTAGAAAAATCCAATAATGCTAAACAACACCATAACCACCACAGCTTTTTTTTTTTTTTTTTAAGTTGAGCGATATTGTTGTTAAGTTAGAATTAGTTTGCCACTGGAGGGTTCGAACCCCCACTATCATGCAAGGGCGTCATTCCTTTACACCACTGTGGTAGAGGGCCACCTGCACCACAGATAATAATTAAGCTTTCTTTTTTTGGGAATTAATAATTAATTAAGCAGATTTGGGTCCGACGTTTTTCTGTTTATAATTCAGACACTTTGACAGCCTCACTTTTCTTCTTCTTTTCCATGCTCTGCGGAAACACCAAAAGATATGTAATTAACCTATTTTTGGTTTCTTGCTGACCTACACTTTCACCATTTTTTCCGGGAAATCGTAACGGCGGTTTTTCTTTTGCATGCCTGGAAGTTTGTTGATTCTGTTAGTTTCTTGATGGTTTCAGTTTTCTGGTAGTTGCTCTAGAGATTCAAACATGGTTGTACTCAAAATCTTTTTTTTTCGGTTTCATGGTTATAACCCCCTCTTCCCTTTCCATGCATTCCAATTAGATTCATGACACACTTCTTTTGAGCCTACCCAGCATTCCGTATCCTCACCGAGTTGTGAGAATTTCTTTCGTTTTTCGGGAGATCTTCATGATCAACTTTTTATCTGCAGTTGATCATATCGAAAAGTTTGGGCCTGAATGCAACATTGCATGGATCATAAACTGAGATTTTTTAATTTGCAAGGACTTTTTATAAGATTTCAAGCGATTATATTGCGCGTAAGATGAGTTGCTTTTCTTGCTTTTCATCCCATGAAAAGAAATCATCTAACACAAGATCAAATAGTGGGAGGAGAGCACAATTGCCTACCACTGTTTCTCAGAAGGAACACAATGTTCCACCAGCACAACAGCCTCGGCCACCCCCAGCTGGTAGGTCGGATTTTTTGTGCCTTTCTGACGAATAAAAATTGTGGTAACGTGTGATTTTTTCGTGTGACGAAATGATTTGCCAATGCAGCCTTCCCAGCATCGTTGAAAATTAGATTTTTGCCTTCTGTGTTTTGCATCACAAATCTTGCTCTTCCGATTTTTTACACTTTCGTATGGCAAATTATTAGCTTTCTAATTATTGGTTATGCATAAGCAGAAGTTCCTAAACCAAAACCTACACCACCAGCTGAGAATCCAGTAGCCAATGCCCATAATGTCAATAAAGAACCCGTAAACCACAACAACATTGCTGCGCAAACTTTCACATTCCGGGAATTGGCGACAGCGACCAAGAACTTCAGGCAAGAATGCCTCATTGGAGAGGGCGGATTTGGAAGAGTTTACAAGGGAAAACTTGACAAAACAGAACAGGTTGTGGCTGTGAAGCAACTTGACAGGAATGGCTTGCAAGGAAACCGAGAGTTTCTTGTCGAGGTGTTGATGTTGAGCCTCTTACACCACGAAAATTTAGTAAATCTTATCGGATATTGTGCAGACGGTGATCAGAGACTTCTTGTCTACGAGTACATGCCCTTGGGATCTGTGGAAGACCATTTACTAGGTACTATTTTGATGTGTTTGTAAACTGATTTTTCCCTCCATCTTGCAGCTACTTCCATTTGTATCCGCAAAGGGCTTAAACCCGGTTTCTCATGCTTCGTATCTTAATTTTCAGATCTTCCGGAAGGCCAGAAGCCACTAGATTGGTTCAAAAGAATGAGAATAGCTCTGGGAGCTGCCAAGGGACTAGAATACTTGCATGACGAGGCAAATCCACCTGTTATCTACCGCGATTTAAAATCTTCCAACATTTTACTCGACAATGATTTCAATGCAAAACTCTCCGATTTTGGTTTAGCTAAGCTTGGACCTACTGGAGACAAGACTCATGTATCTTCAAGAGTAATGGGAACATATGGTTATTGTGCCCCAGAGTATCAAAGAACAGGACAGCTCACGGTCAAGTCCGATGTCTACAGTTTCGGAGTTGTGTTGTTGGAATTGATCACTGGAAGAAGAGCAATTGACACCACACTATCAACCAGGGAGCAAAATCTAGTTGCTTGGGTAAATATCCCTGCATAATTTTCTTCTTAATTCTTATTCATGTGCTTTGCGTTGAAGAATCGCCGGATACTTGACAAAATAATACACGGTACATAAATGATTTCACTAGTATAACACCGAGGCTCACACCTGCTAGATTATGCAGGTGGTTAAGTTATGAACAATATCATGTTCGACTAATTAGTAGTAGGCTGCTAGTCCGTCTCTGTGAAATCTTTTGACACTTTTTATCATAATTTTTTTATCTATAACAGGCACAACCAGTATTCAAGGATCCTAATAGGTATCCAGAACTAGCTGATCCACTTCTTCAAGGAAACTTTCCTGTGAGAGCACTAAATCAAGCCATGGCAGTTGCAGCAATGTGCCTCCACGAGGAAGCACCTGTTCGTCCCTTGATAAGTGATGTGGTCAGTGCTCTTAGTGTCCTCGGGACAGGTCCGGACACAGCTACCTCGCCTGTAAGCAGCCTTCCCTCTCCATCACCGGATCAAACAATGGTCATAAACGAGGATTCTCAGCTCGAAGACAGTGTAACTGAACGCCAACGCGCTGTGGCAGAAGCCATGGAATGGGGTTCGAGCTCAAGGCACAATGGAGTGGTAGCATCACGGTGTGGAAGTACTTCTTCCTTGTAAAACTACAAGTTGCATAGTACAATGTTGTTTCCACAGGAGCATTTAATTTCTGTTGTAAAACATGTCTTTATGATTCGTTTGCTCATGAATTACTCAAAATTTGTATGAGCAATGTCAGATTGTAACAATGTATCGGGTTGTAAACGCGATAAAAATCAAACAGATTGAATGAGAAGTCAATTATATCGAGTTTTCTTTTATCAATTTATGATCTTCATTTGTCATTGCTTCCAGGATCTATTAATGACTTATCATCAGTTGTTTAGTTAATCAAATTAGAGATCTTTTGATATAGGCACCTCAGTTTTGAATTTTCTAAATCAAACATTCATGTCTTTTAGTGATTTGATTAAACTTTTTTTTGTCATAGTTTTGGTGCTATATGCACATTATATTGTATCAAATTTCCTATAATCTAGCATTTTGATTACACTTTCCTCCGTTAGAGATAATTGTAAAAAAAAAAAAAAAAAAAAAAAAAAAGTGGGTTAGATTCAATTTATTTTCACAATAATGCTACAATTTAGCAATAATTATCTACGATTTAAGATATTTTCTTTTCAAAATAGTTTAAAATATTTTTAAATCCCCAAAATCAAACGTACCGAAATAAGTTTTTCTTTTAGTACGTTAAGAGAAAATAGGATTGAGAATAATATAAACGTACCAATACACAATGTGTACAAAATAAAACGTACCAAAATAAAAATAATGTATCAATATTAACAATATGTGTCAAATCAAACGTACCAAAATTGCAAATAAACGTACCAATTAATGATTTTTGTAAATTCTACCCGCAGATAATATATACGTAATGTATTGTACCTAATAATAATTCGTCAACAACCATACTTAAAAAAACAGCAAAAAATATATATATAATTTCACAAAAAAATTGAAAAAAATTACACAGAGTTTTTATGTTGATCACCAGCTATTTGAAAAAGAAAAAACCATTTGGAAAAAGAAATAATATTAAATGTTTGCACAACCAAAAAAAAAAAAACCCTGTGATCGAAAAAACATATTTGAAAGAGATAAAATATAGTTTAATTACTAATATCTCCACTAAATAAGAAAAAAATGCATCATGCAGAATAATTAATTAGCGTTATATGTGGTAATTCTATCGTTACTTGAGTTTGTAAGTGGCCCAAGAAGTAGAACTAAAAGAGACGCTAACTGTTAATAAAAGGGCATTGCACGTAATATTTATATGATTTATTGTTTGTTTAGTATATGTCTAATATGTAATGAATCTACGAATCATATTTCATAGGTTTGAGTGCAAAAGTTCATAACTTTCTTATGAAAGAAACAGTGCGCACAAGGGCGCAACTTGTTTTCTAGTTCAATGTCAATGATTTTTGCCGAATTTTGTCAGTGAAACATTTATTGAGCACTTTATGAGCTTGTAGACTATTGCCGAGCCATGCCGTCGAACCATGTTGTCAATCCTGGTCGACATCTCTCGAGACAAGTCGAGCTCTCTTAACATCGATCAAGCCATGACAACATCTGATGAGCATATATTTCATCAAACACTTAACATTCACTGCTAGGTCACATACCAGATTGCCATACAACCTTTGGAGGGGGTATTCCAAGACATTTTCTTTCTTCCATAGGGTCCAGGAAGGAACCAACTAGCTCCCTACTGGATAGTTTTATTTTTTTTAATTAAAAATCTTGTAGTGTTAAAGGAAAACTTAGAGAGTTAGGGTAGGAGAGCAACGACAAGAGAGAGAAAGCTCAGCTGGTTTGTAATCGCTTGTTTTTCTTTTGTGGCTTTAAGCGTTTATTTAACGGTGATCAGAGACTTCTTGTCTACGAGTACATGCCCTTGGGATCTGTGGAAGACCATTTACTAGGTACTATTTTGATGTGTTTATAAACTGATTTTTCCCTCCATCTTGCAGCTACTTCCATTTGTATCCGCAGAGGGCTTAAACCTGGTTTCTCATGTTTTGTATCTTGATTTTCAGATCTTCCGGAAGGCCAGAAGCCACTAGATTGGTTCAAAAGAATGAGAATAGCTCTGGGAGCTGACAAGGGACTAGAATACTTGCATGACGAGGCAAATCCGCCTGTTATCTACCGCGATTTAAAATCTTCCAACATTTTACTCGACGTTGATTTCAATGCAAAACTCTCCGATTTCGGGTTAGCTAAGCTTGGACCTATTAGAGACAAGACTCATGTATCTTCAAGAGTAATGGGAACATATGGTTATTGTGCCCCAGAGTACCAAACAACAGGACAGCTCACGGTCAAGTCCGATGTCTACAGTTTCGGAGTTGTGTTGTTGGAATTGATCACTGGAAGAAGAGCAATTGACACCACACTATCAACCAGGGAGCAAAATCTAGTTGCTTGGGTAAATATCCCTACATATTTTTCTTCTTATTCTTATTCATGTGCTTTGCGTTGAAGAATCGCCGGATACTTGACAAAGTAATACACTGTACATAAATGATTTCACTAGTATAACACCGAGGATCACACCTGCCAGACTATGCAGGTGGTTAAGTTATGAATAATATCATGTTCGTCTAATTAGTAGTAGGCTGCTAGTCCGTCTCTGTGAAATCTTTTGACACTTTTTATCATAATTTTTTTGTCTAACAGGCACAACCAGTATTCAAGGATCCTAATAGGTATCCAGAACTAGCTGATCTACTTCTTCAAGGAAACTTTCCTGTGAGAGCACTAAATCAAGCCATGGCAGTTGCAGCAATGTGCCTCCACGAGGAAGCACCTGTTCGTCCCTTGATAAGCAATGTGGTCAGTGCTCTTAGTGTCCTCGGGACAGTTCCGGACACAGCTACCTCGCCTGTAAGCAGCCTTCCCTCTCCATCACCGGATCAAACAATGGTCATAAACGATGATTCTCAGCTCGAAGACAGTGTAACCGAACGCCAACGCGCTGTGGCAGAAGCCATGGAATGGGGTTCGAGCTCAAGGCACAATGGAGTGGCAGCATCACGGTGTGGAAGTACTTCTTCCTTGTAAAACTACAAGTTGCATAGTACAATGTTGTTTCCACAGAGCATTTTATTTCTGTTGTAAAACATATCTTTATGATTCGTTTGCTCATGAATTTCTCAAAATTAATATGAGCAAAGTCAGATTGTAACAATGTATCGGGTTGTAAACGCGATAAAAATCAAACGGATTGAATGAGAAGGAAATTATATCGAGTGAGAACTTCTTTTTTTTTATCAATTTATGATCTTCATTTGTCATTGCTTCCAGGATCTATTAATGACTTATCATCAGTTGTTTAGTTAATCAAATTATTTACACCACGTAAATAATTAATTAGCGATTATATGTGGTAATTCCATCGTTACTTGAGTTTGTAAGTGGCCCAAGAAGTAAAACTAAAAGAGACGCTAATTGATAATAAAGGGCATTGCACGTAATATTGATACGATTTATTGTTTGTTTAGCATATGTCTAATATGTAATGAATCTACGAACATATCTCATAGGTTTGAGTGTAAAAGTTCATAACTTTCTTATGAAAGAAACAGTGCACACAAGGGCGCAAATTTTTTTCTAGTTCAATGTCAATGATTTTTGCCGAGTTTTGTCAGTGAAACATTTTATTGAGCACTTTATGAGCTTGTAGACTATTGCCGAGCCATGCCGTCGAACCATGTTGTCAATCCTGGTCGACATCTCTCGAGACATGTCGAGCTCTCTTGACATCGGTCAAGCCATGACAACATCTGATGAGCATATATTTCATCAAACACTTAACATTCACTACTAGGTCACATACCAGACTGCCATACGACCTTCGGAGGGGGCATGCCAAGACATTTTCTTTCTTCCATAGGGTCCAGGAAGGAACCAACTAGCTCCTTAGTGGATAGTTCTATTTTTTTAATTAAAGATCTTGTAGTGTTAAATGAAAATTTACAGAGTTAGGGTAGGAGAGCAACGACAAGAGAGAGAAAAAGGAAGCTCAGCTGGTTTGTACTCGCTTATTTTTCTTTTGTGGCTTTAAGTGTTTAATTATACTAATCGCATGACCTTTACTTGCTATACAAGGAATTGGAAATCCTTTCAGAATTCTACTTCTAAATTTACACCATCACACTCCTAGATAATATTAACAACAATATAGCTAATATTATTTGTGCATATTTGGCAATATATTTTTTTCAATGACAGACGAAAAAATAAAGGTAAGTTACACAAAACTACCTTAACCATAGATATCACAATCTTATACCTCATGTTTTAAACATTACAATGTCATACCTCAATTTTTGAATTCGTTGCAATGTTAGATCTCGGTTAAATTTTCTGTTAATTTAGTTGTTAAATGATGACATGACAGGAGTAGAGCCCACAACTCTGCCAACTAGAATAAAAAAACTAATTATTATAAATAAATTATTTAATAATTAAAATTAATTAAATAAAACCTTTCTCTCTCCTTTCTTCACAGATCGCCTCACTCCTCCCCTCAATCCTTCCTCCTTCATCACTCCCTTCTCCTCATACCATTCCATCCCAAACCCAATCTTACTCTGATTCGCAGCCTCCTTCTTCTTTCCCCCGGGAACTCCGATCACCGACGGCAGCCTCGACAAATTGCTCAAGCCCAGCGCCGACCCTTTGTAATTATGGTTTTGCAAGGAAAGAGGTGCTGAAGCTCACGAAATTGGGAGGGAGAAAGTCCATTCCATGCCGCGAAACAAAGCCGTCGACCAAGGTGTTTGGGTTTGTCCGATCTGTGAGTGGTGGCCCGGGAAGGGAGTGAGGTGAGGATGGGGAATTGGCCGGGGAGAATAGGTGGAGGAGATGGGGGAGGGTGGGGATGTGGTATAATTTTATACTTTCTGAGTTTGGGATGGAATAATGGTATGAGGAGGAGGGAGTGAGGGCAGGAGACGACCGGCGACGTGGGGAGAAAGGGGGGAGAGATAGATTTTTATTAATTAATTTTAATTATTAAATAAAAATTAATAAATTATTAATTAAAAATGAATAATTTATTAATTTTTTATTCCAATTGGCAAAAGAGTGGATATAGCTCTTCTGACTTCATTATTTAACAGCTAAATTGATAAAAAATTTAATAGAGATCTGACACTTCAACAAATTTATAAGTTGAGGTATAATATTGAAATGTTTAAAATATGATGTATGAGATTGTAGTTCAACTAATAATTAGGGTAATTTTGTATATTTTACCCAAAAAAAAAATAAAATGTTTGACTTTGTGTCGAGTCTGGATTTGGGCTTGTGCTGAAAAGTAAAAGACATCACAATATTTCCGAAGCTGGGCCTAACTAACGACTAACGAGGCTGACCAGTACCCGCACCAATTTCTTTAGATTGTGTAACGTTGTACGTCTCTTCACGACCGGTGAAAAAAGAGGTCAAAATCCAACTGTATTACAAAGCTTACAACTTTGACAAACAAACAAAAAAAAAAAAAAAAAAAAAAAAAAAAAACAGGTACCTCTCTCCGTCAAAACAACGAACCTCTGAATCCGATGTGAATCTCGTCCCAGGTACATTTTCCATCCCCCTTCAATTCGCTATATATATATATATTTGATTTTTATTTTTTTCAGTTTTTATACTTCTTTTCAAATTATCTTTCTATTTCTGGGTTCAAATCCTCATTGAACTTAAATTTGATTAAATATTTCACATATTGGGATTTTGGGTCTGAGATTAATTCAGTTTATATCGTCATGGTATCGAAAAGATTGCGTCTTGGTGCAGTTTAGTATTATGGGGTTAATTCCACACCTCTTTCCCCCCTTAATTTTGGTAGTTTTTTTTTTTTTGGTGGTTTCAGGTGAGATTTGGGTTTATTAGTGACATGGGAAGTTGTTATAATTCTCTGAAAGCACAGAAAGTTTGCGTTTTCGGGCTTGGGGAATCGGATAGCTGATTTTTAGCAATATTTGGGAGCTGATTTGATTTGGGGTTGACTGGAAAGATATGAAAACTGAAGTTTGGAAGTGGGTTTTAGGTTTGATATACATATTTGCTGTTGCATCCATCTGGATAGCTGCCAGTTTCGTAGTACAGTCGGTGGTAGATGCCGGTGTGTCCCCGTTCCTCATCACATACATATGCAATTCTCTGTTTGTGATCTACATTCCCTTAGTTGAAATCGGGCGGTATTTGGAGGATAATTTTGAGGGGTTTTGGATTCGGAGAAGTAGGAAGAGTAGCCCTTTGCAAAGGTTAGGAGAGTCGGAGCAAATCACTCTCCTTGAGGAGACTGATGGAGTTGTGATAGTGGATGCGGAAGAGGGGGAAGTTAATCTTGGTGTAGAACCGAAAGGTGTATCATACGAGCTTGTTGGGATTTCAGCAACTCAAGACAATGTCACTGAAACGGTAGATAAGCTAGTGGATGGGAAGGGGCGTTGGACACGAACTCGAGTGGCTAAAGTTAGCTTACTGATTTCCCCGTTTTGGTTTTTTGCACAGCTGACTTTCAATTTGTCATTGAAGTATACTACCGTTACAGTAAGGATTTTTAGTGTTGCATGGCACACCCTGCTTCTTAAATTTGTCCATTTGTTTCATCATTTCGATATGATTGATTTGTTGTGTTTGTTGCGTGCAGTCGAATACCATCTTAAGCAGTTCATCCAGCCTTTTCACCTTTTTGGTCTCCCTAGTATTCTTAGGGGAGAAGTTTACTTTGGTTAAGCTTATTAGCGTTCTTCTTTGCATGGGAGGAACGATAATTGTCAGCCTTGGTGACTCACGAACTGCTCTGAGTGCAATTGCTTCAAACCCTCTCCTCGGAGACATACTTGCTCTTGTCTCGGCGGCCTTGTATTCTGTCTATATTACCCTCATTCGCAAGAAATTACCCGATGAAGATGATGAAAAAAGCGGCCGTGCCAGTATGGCTCAGTTTCTAGGATTTTTAGGGCTTTCCAACCTTCTTATATTTCTTCCGGTTGCCCTTATACTTCATTTCTCAAAGCTAGAGCCGTTTTATATGCTTACATGGGAGCAGGTTGGTCTCATCGTTGGTAAAGGTGTGTTCTTAACTTATACTTTATATTCTTTTTAACTTGGAGTTACCTGTGCTGGAGTTTTGCTTTGCTTTTTTCTATTTGTCTAAGCATGCATTCTATAGTAATGCCAAAGACTCCGACCCTAGAATTCTGGATAGGCAGGATTTTATTTCATCAAATTTAGTCTCACTCTAAACCGTATTATTTTTAACAACTAAGATGCGTGCAAATATCTTCCTTATCATTTGATGGATAAATCATAAATGTCGAGGACAAGATATGAACATAGTTGACATGAGGCGTACTGATAAACACAGATGATGTAGAGTTTTATGTAGTGTTTCTCCTGTGCTGAATCATAATTGTGTTGTGTTTAGGCTTGTTGGATAATGTTCTGAGTGACTACTTATGGGCCAAGGCCGTTCTTCTAACAACCACCACGGTAGCAACAGCCGGTCTGACAATCCAGGTTCCATTGGCGGCAATTGTGGACTCGATGACTGGCAATGCACCTCATTTTGCTGATTACCTTGGAGCAGGGGCTGTCATGATCGGATTCGCTGGCATAAACATTCCCTCTGATGCTTTTAACAGACCAAAAGAAGCCATACTAGTGTTAGAGAACGAAAATCTCAGCGAGACCAGTGAACGTCGCAATGCATCGGGCACATGAGGGCCGGTTTCAGCTGCCTCTTCATAGCATGCATTTTACACGTAAAAATGTGTGATATTTGTACTGTTTTCAGAATTTTTGTAAATGCAACTACGATAGCAATATTCTAAGCTACTGTAACTTACACAGATGGAAATCACACATCATAATAACCGTAGTTCTTTGAATTTCTTTCACTCGGATCAATTGACGATTAATGCAAATACAAATTAAGCTCATTTTATAAGATTCAAGTGATTACTCCTATCTAAATGCACTTAACAGTTAACAATGGCCATTCAATAATAAATTACTCCAAATCCAAATGAGTCCCTTTCGAGGACAAAGTATATGTCTACAAGTAAACATTAAGATTTTGAAACGACAAGGCCACAAATGAACGCTATAAGATCAATAATTATTCAATAAAAATTTACCAAAACCGTCTGATCATCCATCGGAGGACGTACTCAACTTCATTCAGGTAACATTGTTGATTACTTGGCTTCCCAAAAATAATTGCCAAACTCAAACAACTCTGAAACAACGCAAACCCTTAACTCTGTGACATCGTGGAACCTGCATGACCATATCTCTGCATCACTTTTCTCGTTGCAAGGGCTGCAGCCTCGCTTGCACGCAGTGTTCCACTGGCCATGATCGCAGCAAACTCAGCAGAGATCTCCTCTTGCACCTTACTACGAGCATCCCCAAGAGGATCTACAACTCCGTTGGGAGGTTTAACAGCACTCCCTGATGCTACCCGCTCCTCCGACTTGGTGAGCTGCTGCACTCCAGATTTCGATTTATCACCAGTCTCTTTGCTCGAAGTACTTGATGATTTCACAATATTAGCTGTTGGTTGCACCATGGAAGGAGGCCGGAATTGTGGAGCTTGAGGAGCAGCACCACTTTTCAACGTTGCTTCCAGATTCTGTATCATGGGCACTGCAAAACAAAGGCAGTGAAAATTCGCATTATTGAGTATTTAACCACATGGTTCTCCCATTAATCGCAATCCTTCTATCAATTTATAGTCATTATCTGAAATCAAATGGCACTAATCACTAATCAAATACAAATTAAGGCGTATTGAAAACAAAGGAAATAAATAGAGAACAACAAGAATTATAAATTAGCTTTCAGAATCAAATAGGGCAGAGTAGTATCCAAAGGATGAATAACTTACTAATAAGAGCTCCCATTGGACTGCCCATAACTTCATTAGGAAGCTGCAAAATATAGTCCGGAATGGTTGCACCCACCAAAAATTGAGCAACCTCATTGCTAAAGTTGTTGCAATTGTGAGTAAGCAAACTATAGGTTTCAGCAGTATACCGGGGACTGATCTCCTGCAAATACATCTCAAAGACATCCTTGGGTACATGTGTCACACCCAAATCTACCACTTTAATCGGTGTCCCATATGGCGTTGACCCAGCAGGAGCATGTTGTATGCCTCCCCCAAAATAGTACTCATTACCATAAACCACCAATCCCGTGTGCCTGAAATTGAAAATTCACATGGAAAGTTTAATTACCTTTACACATGCCTTGCTAAGAAGAAAATACAGAAATAACAATATGTCTTCATATCGAAGTTCTCATCGTATTCCAATGAACAAAAAACACTTACCATATGCCCTCGATGGCTTTCCCCAAGAAAGCCATGGACATTTGCCTGGCTAATCCTTGGCTCAGGTCATATACATTTAGAATAACCTTGTGACCCTCCTGCAACCAAATTAATACATCAATTAAAGAACTGCATTGCAAAGCAAGAAAAGAAGTCAACGCAATGAAACGCCAAAATACAACAAATATAACACACACCTCTGCCATCTCTGCGGTCCAAAATCAAAATGCTGAGAACACGAAAATGCGGGGTATTGAGCTAATGAAGATCGCGTATTCCAATCACACTGATAAAGATAACAATTAAAGAAACATCGTAAGGGCCAAAATTCAGGGAAAAAAAATAACAAATTCAGTTATAAGCAGCTAAAGCTGGACACTATGATTGCCAGAATCGACATCTAAACGCCCGAATTCTAAAGTTTGCAAATTGCTAATACAAGTTAGAAAAATAGTACTTCTGGTTTGCTCCTGTGCTTCAACCACCACCACCAAAAAACTTCAAAATACAAAAAAAATCACCAAATTGTATACGCAAAACAGTTTTATTTGTTTAACATCATCGACATATTTTCCCAATTGCAAAACAAAACCAGTAATTGGAGCTACATTGTTCAAATCTACACTAATTATCATACAAATCACCGAAATCAATGAACAAAATCCTGAATTACCTTAAAAAAACACCTTTTAAATATTCAAATCTAGCAATTACATACAGCAATCTACCTTAAGCATTGGATCCCACAGATCAAACCAAAATTCCACACAAAATTACAAAATTTAAAGTGTAAACTTTTCTACAAATCCTCAACAAAATTGAAAAATATATAAAGCGCATTACGGAAAGCAAATTCGATTAAACAACTGAAAGGCTGATGGATGACGACTAGGGATTCAATTGCGATTTTGTAACGAGAGAACGTACCTGAGCGCGAAGAAGCCGCGAAGAGAAGTTCTTACTTTTCTGCGGTTTGCGTGAGCCCGTTCGGATCCGTCGCTTTAAATACTTCCAACGAATTGGGACGACAATTTGGATTCCGGTCACTTCCATGACCTTCTAGAACTTACTAACCAGTTATGTTGGGACACGTGGATTGTCATTCAAAGCCCACGCGCTCTCTGGAAAATATTATTTTACTTTTCTTCTTCTTGTGTTTGGCGCGACCTCCTGTTAAACTCTTCCCGCTGATCTATCCTTTGTGTTAAAAGGTGAAAATAAATTAGGCTTTTTTTTTTTTTAAGGAAATTTAATTTAGGTAATAAATTTTCATATATTTGGAACACAAATTAATATTTTATGCGTCACAATACACATGAAGAGAAGATACATTTTTTAGCATTCTTCTATTTATATTATAGCACGTGGTATACTGACTTATATCATAAATAGACAGAAAAATTACTCACCAAATACAAAAAAGAATGCTCTTAAATAACTAAGCTTCAAGCTCATTACATTGTCGTTTTTCTTTTGAATATTTAGCAATAAGCCTTCAATTTTAGCCCAAAAATTATCTAAGGTCCCATTTTGGGGTCTTACATTTGTTTTTACAAATTTCACCTAATTCTTTTATTTGGAACTATGTCATGTTTTGTTATGTACTGGTAGGTATCAAGTTTGTTATCAAGGTATGAATGCAATGCGCACTTGTTCAAAGGCCAAATATAACTAAATGCTTGTATAAATATTTGGATAAGAATGTTCTCCGCAATAGCTACATACAACTGTCTGTTTACATCTCACATTACGCACGTTAGGCAATCGAAACATAATAAAGTTCACCACTTAGCTACTCTCTTTAAATATCAAATGGTATGCGAGATAATTATTTTTAAATATCTAAAGTTATTCAGATTACGAATAAAAGAAATCACAACCTAATAAAACTCATCACCCTACTATAATTCAACATAAAATCGACTAAACACTTTCTCTCAACTTATGTTGTTATAGAGCCTTGTTCATCAAATTGACATTCAACCACCACTAATCACATTGTTAACCAAATTAAAGTGAGATTATATTTTTAATTTTTGAGATCAAAGTGAGATCTATTATATGTTCAAAAAACAGATTAATAGATGTGTGTGGCACAAGATAGTTTCATGTCTTTAAGGAAGAAAACTGTTATTAGCACTTTAAAAATCTCATTCTATATTCTTTTTAGTATTTTTTTTCTTCTACTTATAGAAAGTTTAGAGTGTAAAATGAAATTTTTAGAATATTAATAACGATTATCTTAAAAAATAAAAATTGTTAACACCTATTATCACCCGGTGGATCCCACAACAGAGCAAAACCCAAAAGCCCGATGTCGAAACTCCGAACCAAAATCCGAACCTTATCCCACAGACAATAAACTCCCCCAACCGTTACTACTCCTAGCCTAGCTTCGGCTCCGAACCTAAAAACCAGCCTCTGTTAATATCTTCGTTGGGCGATTCCTCCTCCGCTTCTCTTTAACTGTTATAAATCTGGAAGGTTCCTCTTCCTACTTCAGTTACTTCTAAGAACAAGAGTCCATTATTTTCTCGGGAAAATTATCCACACTGTATGAACTCAATTGAGCATGTAAGGTCTCAGATTACTCTAGCTGCGCGAAATTTCAATTTGTTTGTGCTTTTGTTTTTCAGTTCGGGTTAGGGTGCATGAGGTGGAGATCTCCCGGAATGGCGGTGTAGGATTTGATCGGTTGGCTCACTGGTATGGTTTTCAGCTGAATTCCGATGGAAATTGTCAGAACTCTGTGATTTTTGTTTTTGAGTTTTTGCTCTGTTTGGTTGCTGGGAAAATCCAGGACGATGGAGGGAGAAAATTTGTGAAGTTGCGCATTATCTAGTTTTGTATTAGCGACATAAAAAAGTTCAATGTAATTCCTAAAGATGATAATTGAGATAATGATTGTGAACTACTCATAGTAATGGTTCAATTCCCATTTTTATACTGAAATTAAGGGCTGCAGTTAGGATTTTGTAGGATTTTAATAGACTTTAAAATCTAGGTGTAGTCGATTAGAGCTTTAAAAGAGGATTTTAAAAGTTTTTGAAATCATGGTGTAGTTAAATTACGATTTAAGAGGATTTTGAAGAATACATTCAAATCCAGGCCAGGGGTAGTCGATTTAAGAGTTTAAAAATACATTCAAATCTAGGTATAGTGAGAATTTCAAAGATTTATTAGGATTTTAATGGCCTAAGGGATTTTGGGGGATTTGAAGGTGGGTGGTATAAATACAAAGTGCCATCAAGAATCCAACCATACCCCATGTGATTTCTTTTCACATTCATCACAGAAGTGGAACAGTTTTGTCTCTCATCTTCCTCTATCGCCACAAGGTATTGCAGTATCTTTATAAAACTACAAAACTATTTGGGTGTGGCCAAATAGAAAATTCATAATATGTTATTCTTCTGTTGTATCTTTATGAATTACAAAACTTTTAATTTTTTTTTTTAAAGAAAGGCCTGAGAAAGTTGCAGGTATTATACATATCCTTCTGTACTCCACGGAATGCCTTTATACATTTGTTTTGCCATGCTTTATGGGATTGTGTTACTCTGTCCTTTACATTTGGGATTGTGTTACTCTGTCCTTTACATTTTTTTTTTTCCTTCCACTTGTTTCTTTGTAATTATATGTAGCAACGTAATTTTCATGGATTTAAAAGAACTTATAGAAATGAATAATTCAACATCTTTTAGGAAAAGTTGACAGAAAATGTATCTATGAATCTGTGTTCTCTTTTATGTATGGAACATAGAGAAAATAGACCTTAGGAAACATTGCGCAACTGAGTCATGAGACTTGGAGTTTTTATTTGCAGCCAGTGTTGGCATCCTTAAATGTCTTTTGAATTACCGATTTAAGATATACAAGTTAGGAAGATCTTGGGTTCTGTTAGATAGTTCCTAAGAAGATTTACATGATCTTTGAAATGGACAACTGGTATTGTGAGGACAAGCTGATCGAATAGTATTGGAAGTATGAGGTATCTGTGCCTTGTGCCCTTGCAGATTTGAGTGGTTTCTGAGGAGCTTTTAATTGGGTTCTTTTGATTTAGTTGTCTTGCTCTACTATTCTTCTTAAGTTGTGTGCATTGGGTTGAGTTTTATGCTTAATGTCATGTGTTTATTGGGTTTCCTAAATAGGTACTGAAGCTGCAAAAATGAAGATGCGTGTGGGATGAGTTTATCTCATATATTTGTCATTTAGTTTGTTATGTTTTGATTGAACATGTGCATATCTCTTCATGTAGGAATTATTTGTACATTATATGCTGGTAGTGAGCAAATTATAATCTCGTAATGTTATGTGATATATCATCCCACACGCATTGAGTCGTTTATATAATGTCTCAATCAAGCATGGAAGCGGAAGGTGGGGAAGAAATGAAAGTGGACGAAGTGGATGAAGAAATGGAAGTGGAGCAAATGGTGGAAGAACAAATTGAAGAAGAAGAAGAAATTGAGGAAGAACTTTATGAAACCATTAAATATTTATTGATTGCAATTCAAGCTATAGTCCACGTGCTAAAAGAGTTTATAATTACATTTGGACAACCTATTGAACGTCCTTTAAATCGACGATCAATTACTATAGAAGGATACAATTATATACATATAGTATTGAAAGAGGACCGCCCAGAGGATTTCCGGCAAAGGTATAGAATGTATCCTGATGTGTTTGTGAAGTTATGCACTATTATTAGAGAAAAAACACTCTTACGAGATACAAAATTCATTTGCATAGAAGAAATGCTTGCAACATTTTTGCTTATTGTTGGACACAATAGTAGATATTGTCTACTATGTGATACGTTTGAGCGATCACATTGGACTGTCAGTAGAAATTTTAACAAAGTTTTGAAGGCCTTGAACACAATAGCACCGGAGATGATGGCCAAACATGGATTAGCAGTGCCATCTAAAATAAGGGAAAGTACAAGATTTTACCCTTACTTGAAGGTATGTATAGTGTGTCGTTTTTTTATTTTTTATTTTGTATCATTCTAATTTATTCCAAATGATAAACTTAACACTATTTTAGGATTGTATTGGAGCTATTGATGGCACACATATCCCAGTATCAGTGTCCGGATGCGATGTAAGCAGTTATCGTAATCGTAAGGGTGTCATATCACAAAATGTATTAGCTGCTTGTAACTTTGATTTGGAATTCATGTACATCCTTAGTGGGTGGGAAGGATCGGCTCATGATTCAAGAGTACTAAATGATGCTTTGACAAGAAGGAATGGACTTAAAAGTGCCACAAGGTATCAAATTATTATTTATCATTTTTATTATTATTTAATTTCTTATTAATCCATTGAGTTGCATAATAAAATATATATTATCACGTAAATTTTTTATAGTAGATTGTGGATTTCCAAATAAACGTCAATTCTTAGCTCCTTATCGAGGAATCCGATATCATCTCCAAGAGTATAGTGATTCGGGTTGTGAGCCTAGAAACGAAAAAGAGTTATTCAATCTTCGTCATGCTTCTTTAAGAAATGTCGTTGAGAGGATATTTAGTATTTTAAAATCACGATTCCTAATTTTAAAGATTGTACCTCCATTTCCATATGCAACACAAGCGGAGGTAGTATTAGCTTGTGCAGCAGTGCACAATTTTCTTCGCAAGGAGTGTAGATCAGATGAGTTTCCTGTTGAACTAGATGATGAATCTTCTTTGTCTCCACCATTGTCAGTTTCTGAAGGGGATCTTGACCAAGATTTTCAAACACAAGAACAACGGAATATTGCTAATGAATGGAGATATAATATAGCTTTGGACATGTGGAGAGATGCTCATAATGATAACAATGTGAATGAAGGATAATGAGTCACAAATAATTCTAGTGTGGTAGTGATGAATTTTTTATGATGTTCTTGTAATGTTAGGTTTTGTGGTTGCGTTTGAGAAAGCAAAAAAGAAAGAAGAAAATATTACTTGTAATGTTGAATTTCTAACTAATATAAGGTTTTGTGGTTGTGTTTGAAACTTTGAATTTGGAATTTCATCTGATTGCTTAGCTACTACGATTACATTATTATTTTATGTATTTGAGTTCATGATTGTGCTTGCTAACATTTCAAATTTATTGTTAATGGATCTCCTTTGATTCAAAAAGTTTATGTTTCTTGTGCATTATTTCATTTTATGTTATAAGATTCAACTAATAAATCCTAAGAAATCCACAAAAGAAATCCATACAAATCCATACAAATCTATAATAGAAATCCATATAAATCTGTCGAAATCCATATAGAATTGAGAATCTTTTAAAATCATTTGAAATCTATCACTTAAAAAAAGTCTATTAAAATCTTGTAAAATCCAAATTGACTACACACCCATAAATTAAATTTACTTGTTAATTTAGTTCAATTTCCTTTGATGAGGGAATCTCAAGCTATCGGTGATGTATAATTGCTGAAATAAACAGTGACATTGCTGGTGATTTCTTTGTTTGCACTATCTCCGTCAGATCATCCGTCCGAGGAGTCTACGGATCAATCGTGGAGCAGCTGGAGCTTGAGGGGCAGCGGGAGCTTGAGGAGCAGCCGGAGCTTGAGGAGCACCACGTTTCAACGTTTCTTCCAGATTCTGTATTATGGGCACTGCAAAACAAAGGCAGCAAAAATTCACATTATTGAGTAATTAACCACATGGTTCTCCCATTTACCACAATCCTTCTATCAATTTATAGTCATTATCTGAAATCAAATGGCACTAACCACTAATCAAATACAAATTAAGGGGTATTAAAAACAAAGGAAATAAATAGAGACGAAGAATTATAAATTAGCTTTCAGAATCAAAAAGGGCTGAGTAGTATCTAAAGGATAAATAACTTACTAATAAGAGCTCCTATTGGACTACCCATAACTTCATCAGGAAGCTGCAAAATATAGTACGGAATGCTTGCACCCACCAAAAATTGAGCGACCTCATCGCTAAAGTTGTTGCAATTGTGAGTAAGCATACGATAGGTTTCCCGAGTATACCGGGGACTGATTCCCTGCAAATACATCTCAAACAGATCCTTGGGCACATGTGTGACACCCAAATCTACCACTATTACTGGTGTCCCATATGGCGTTGAACCAGCAGGAGCATGTTTTATGCCTCCCCCAAAATAGTACTCATTACCATAAACCACCAATCCCGTGTGCCTGCAATTGAAAATTCACATGGAAGGTTTAATTACCTTTACACATGCCTTGCCAAGAAGAAAATACAAAATAACAATATTTCTTCATATCGAAGCTCTCATCGTATTCCAATGAACAAAAAACACTTACCATATGCCCTCGATGGCTTTCCCCAAGACAGCCATGGACAAAGGCCTAGCAAATCCTTGGCTCAGGTCATATACATTTAGAATAACCTTGTGACCCTCCTGCAACCAAATTAATACATCAATTCAAGAACTGCATTGCAAAGCAAGAAAAGAAGTCAACGCGATGATATGCCAAAATACAACAAATATAACAGTACACACCTCTGCCATCTCTGTGGTCCAATATCAAAATGCTCAGTAGACAAAAATGCGGGGTATTGAGCTAATGAAGATCGCGTATTCCAATCATACTGATAAAGATAACAATTAAAGAAACATCGTAAGGGCCAAAATTCAGGGACACTATGATAGCCAGAATCGACATATAAATGCCCGAATTCTAAATTTTGCAAATTGCTCATACAAGTTAGAAAAATAGTACTTCTGCTTGCTCCTGTGCTTCAACCACCTTCGCCAAAAAACTTTAAAATGCACAAAAATCACCAAATTGTATACGCAAAACAGTTTTATTTGTTTAACATCATCAACATACTTCCTAATTGCAAAACAAAACCAGTAATTGGGAATCAATTACACTAATTATCATACAAATCATTAAATCAATGAACAAATCCTGAATTACCCGCCAAAAGCACCTTTTAAATATTCAAATCTAGCAATTACATTCAGCAATCTTCCTTAAGCATTGGATCGCACAGATCAAACCAAAAACCCTAAAAATTCCGCAAAAAATTCCAAAATTTAAAGTTTAACTTTTTCTACAAACTCTCAACAAAATCGAAAAATTTATAAAGCGCATTACGTAAAGCAAATTCGATTAAACAACTGAAAGGCTGATGGATGAATATTAGGGTTTCAATTGCGGTTTTGTAACGAGAGAGAACGTACCTGAGCGCGCAGAAGCCACGAAGATAAGTTCTCGCTTTTCTGCGATTTGCGTGAGCCGGTTCGGATCCGTCTGATAGCACCAAACCTCAACAAACCTTTTCTCAACCTGCAAGTTATGGAAGAAGAGAGGGAAGGAGGGAGGCAGAGAGAGACCTTCCCACAATCCAGCCAATTCGTTTCGTATACGTTTGCACTACCACCAATGACCAAACAACTTGATTAACTACTAATTAGTACTAATAAGCTTCTTCTAATTGCGATCAAGGTAATCACAGTCATAACACTATCGCGTTAAACACTTCTCCAAACAATTGGGAAGGCAAGTTGGATTCTGGTCCCTTCTATGACCTTTTAGAACTTGCTAACCAGTTATGTTGGGACACATGGATTGCTTTCAAAGGACACGCGCTCTCTGGAAAATAAAATATTATTTTACTTTTCTTATTTTTGGCGCGACCTCCCGCTAAACTCTTACCGCAGGCCTTTCCTTGTATTATAAGATGAATATAAATTATGTTGAAAATACTGATGGGTAGTGAATACCCATAGTATCTTGGTGGAGTTTTTTAATGCCCTCACAGATTGGTTTTTAATATTGGCATTGTTTATGACTATACACACACATTGTTAATTCCCATAACAGATTGAAATTGACTTTGGAGATGCAGGAGATCATATTTTCCAAAAGAGTGTTATAATTTTTCAATGTATAATTAATATATCAGTATTGGAGTTGCTCTATAAATAGAGCACTCTGTATGCTTTCAAGGTACACAGAGAAAATCATAGAGAAAAACATACAGATTGAAAGAAAGAAAGATAAATAACATCATCTATTCCTCCGTCTTTTATTTGTCATTCACTTAAGTTATAATTACGGTGTGGTACTTTACATCTGCCTCATATCTATCATTAAAAATGTTATCTCTCTAACTTTTACATATTTATAACACGTTATCAGCACTAATCTCTAAATATAATTATTCTCTCATTTCTCTTCGCCGAACGAAAGAAAGAAAAAATGTTTCCTCTAAGGTTTTTACTGTTCATCTTCTTCCTCTGCCTCAACTGCGCGGTATACCCTCACGACGAACTGTTTGCTCCATGCTTACTCTTAGTTTTCAACCTAACGGTTACATACATCTTTGATTTCTTGTTTGGTTTGGATATTGATTACTAACCCAGTGTTTATTTATGTCAATTTTACTGCAATTCAAGATGGTGTGGTACAATCGCCCATCTTGAGCTGCAAATTTATTCTTACTACGATCCAAGATGGTACGGTATCATCGCCTATCTTGGACTGTAGATCTAATTTTACTGCAAATTTTAGGTGGAGCGGTATAATCGCCCACCTTACTCTGCGTATTTAAATTTTCCTACTGCTTAAATGGTGCGGAATAATCGCCCATTCTATGTTACATTATTTCAATGAGAATGGTAAGGTACAATCATCATCCTCATTCACCTTGAAAATCTCGAGCCAGAAGTTTCGAGTACTTATCATTTTGGCCTGAAGATCAAAATGAAAAATTCGTAAGAACTAGAAGTTCTAACACTATATTCCTCCAGGAATACATATTACTGCAAGTTCTTACACATCTCATTTTCTGTCAGCAAAGAAAATGACGAACTTGACGAAACTTGATTATGCTGCCCTGGACATTACCGGAAAGAATTACCTGACCTGGGTACTGGATACCAAGATCCATCTGGAAGTAGGGAATCTTGGAGATACCATCAGGGAAGAGATCAACTCATCCTCTAAAGATCAGGCGAAGGCCATGATCTTTATTCGTCACTATCTGATGAGGCACTAAAGAGCAAGTACTTAAAGGTTAAAGATCCGTTAACTCTCTGGAAGGCCTTGAGAAATAGATACAATCACCCGACAACGATGATTCTTCCAAGAGTTTGTTATGAGTGGACTCACCTAAAGATCCAGGATTTCAAGTCAGTGGCTAAGTACAATTATGCGATGTTCAGAATTACCTCTCAGATGAAGCTCTATGAGGATACCATTACTGAGGAAGATATGCTGGAAAAAACTTTCAGCACATTTCATGCCTCTAACGTGCTTCTCCAGTAGCAGTATAGAGTACGAGGCTACACTGAATACAACCAACTGATATCTGTGCTCCTAGTAGCCGAACAAAACAATGAGCTCCTGATGAAAAACCATAATTTCAAACCTACTGGATCTGCACCATTCCGAGAAGTGAATGCTGCTTCCCCAGAAGTGAACGCCACATCATTTGGTGGTGATAATCATAAACGAGGACATGGTCACAAGCAAGGTCGGTGGAACAGGAAAGACAAGAATCTTGGAGTTCAGTTTCACAACCAAATTCTGAGGCATAATTCAAGCCTGAGCTTTAAAAATGTGAATCACAACAAAGGCAAAGCTCATATGAACAATGCTCTTAGGAACTCTGAAGGAGCCTGCCATAAGTGTGGTGGCAATGGGCATTGGACACGTACTTGTCGTACCCCAAAATATCTTGTGGATTTGTATCAAGTCTCCCTTAAGGAGAAGGGTGTCGAGACCAACTTTCTAGATCAGGCTAGACCAATGGATATACTTGATCCAGTGTGCGACTTATCAGGACAGTTAAACACAGTGGCATGTAAATTTCTTGTTATAACTTGCTTTTAACTCTGATTCTCTTACTCAGAGAGCATAGATAAAAACTATAGTCATTCTCAAAACATGAAAAATGGCGAAGATATTTGTCTTGCAGACTGCGCAAGAACGCATACAATACTTCTAGATTGAAAGTGTTTCTCAAGATTGATGCTTACAAAAGTAAGGGTAACAACAATATCATGACCTTCAGATGTAATTGAAGGCTCAAGGAAAACTCAGATTATGTTACCAAATGGAACAATATTGTCCATACAGAATGCGTTGTACGCTACTCGATCTACTCGAAATTTGTTGAGTTTCAAAGACATACGTTTAAATGGATACCACATTTAAACGAAAAGTGCAGAAAATGTGGAATATCTATGCATTACCTCCAATGATACCCAGAAACGTATTTTGGAGAAGTTGCATGGTTTGTCGAGTGGATTGTATTATATATACATAAAGACAGTTGAATCACATAATGTCATGAACCAGAAGTTCATTGACTCAAAAGTTTACATGATTTGGCATGACCGCCTGGGTCATCCAGGATCTACCATGATGCGTAGGATCATTACCAACTTTAATGGACATCCATTAGTGAGCAAACACATTGCTATCTCAAATGATAACCCTTGCAAGGCTTGTTCTCAAAAGAAGTTGGTAATTAGACCATCACAACTAAAAGTTGATGCTGAATCCCTATCATTTCTGCAAAGAATTCAAGAGGATATTTGTAGACCTGTTCAACCATAATGTGGACCATTCCGATATGTTATGGTTTTGGTTAATGCATCTACCTGATGGTCACATATTTGTCTCTTGTCTACTCAGAATGTAGCATTTGCGAGACTTCTTGCTCAAATAATTAAGTTACGAGCATAGTTCCCAGATTACCCCATTAAGTCAATCCAACTTAATAACACTGATGAATTTACATCTCAAACATTTGATGATTACTGCATAACATTGGGTATTGATGCTGAACACCCTGTTCCTCATGTCTATACACAAAATGGTTTAGCAGAAGCATTGATCAAGCGGCTTCAGTTAATAGCTCGCACTCTGCTTATGAAAACCAAATTACCAGTCTCTGGATGGAGACCTGCCATCTTACATGCTGCATCATTGGTTTAATTGAGACCTATAGTTAACCATCAATACTCATTAGTACAACTCGTGTTTGGACATCAGCCAAACATTTCACATTTACGAGTTTTTGGTTGTGCTGTTTATGTGTCTATTGCACCACCGCAACGCACTAAAATGGGACCTCAATGTAGACTGGAAATTTACGTGGGTTTTGATTTACCATCTATCATTAGATATTTGGAACCATTGACAAGTGATATGTTTACAACTCATTTTGCTGATTGTCATTTTGATGAGACAGTCTTACCGTCATTAGGGGGGAGAAAAGACCGTTCCAGAAGAATGGAAAAAGCTGACTTGGGTTATTTCCACCTTGTCTCATTTTGATCCTCGAAGCATTCAATATGAAAATGAAGTGAAAATGATCGTTTATCTTCAAAGTATTGCTAATCAAATGCCAGATGCATTTAATAATGCTATGAGAGTGACAAAATTACATATACCAGCTGCAAATGGACCTGCAAAAACTGATGTCTCTGTTGGACAAAATAAAATGGCAGCGAATGATTCATCTGGTACACGCCCGAAGCATGGTAGACCTCCAGGTTCAAAATATTCAGCCCCTCGAAAGAGAAAGTCGAGGGCATAACTGAATCCAGATGAAATTATTCAAGAAGAAGAAATCAATAACACATCCACAATTCATGATTCTGTACCTTCAAGAAAAGAAAATGTCCTTGATGAGACACATGTCCCTGAAGAAACAGAGGTACATGAAAATAAAGAAATCTCCATAAATTATGCATGTACAAATGAATTATGGGATCATAATGAAATAATCATCGATGATATGTTCGCATTCGCAGTAGCCATTGAAATCATATTAAGTGATGATATTGAACCCCACTCTGTTGATGAATGCAAACAGAGACAAGATTGGCCAAAGTAGAAAGATGCAATCCAGGCAGAATTAAATTCCTTAGAAAGGCGGAATGTTTTTGGACCAGTAGTGCAAACCTCGCTTGATGTAAACCTCGTGGGTTACAAATGGGTATTCATAAGGAAACGCAATGAGAAAAACGAGACTGCAAGATATAAAGCTCGACTTGTTGCACAAGGTTTTTCTTAAAGACCTGTAATTGATTATGATGAGACATACTCTCCTGTAATGGATGCAATTATGTTCCGTTACTTAATAAGTTTAGTGGTTTCAAAAAGACTTGACATGCGACTTATGAATGTCATCACCGCGTATCTATATGGAGAATTAGATACTGACATATATATGAAAGTCTCAGAATGATTTAAGTTGCCTGAAACAAGTAACAAACCACGAGGTATGCTCTCGATCAAATTAAGGCGATCATTGTATAGACTGAAACAATCTGGACGAATGTGGTATAACCGTCTCAGTGAGTATTTGATCAAAGAAGGATATATCAACAATGTCATTTGCCCTTGTGTGTTCATTAAGAAATCAAACTCTGGATTTGTTATAGTGGCAGTATA